TCACTGTTGTGGCCTCTCCCGTTGCGGAGCACAGGCTCCGGACGCGCCGGCTCGGCCATGGCTCACAGGCCCAGCCGCTCCGCGGCCTGTGGGATCTTCCCGGACCGGGGCACAAACCCGTGTCCCCTGCATCGGCAGGCAGACTCTCAACCACTGCGCCACCAGGGAAGCCCAGTTCTGATCTTTTTTAATACATAAAGAGGTGACACACAAATACGTATTACTGTTTACTAGTGACTGCTATGATTAATCATTTTTGAAGAAAAATAAAATTCCCAATCTGGCATCCATTTGTGGTCAAAGGCTTTTTGTCCAGAACTTCTTTATTCAACCTTTGTTCTCTTACTTCATTTAGTTTTTGTTTCAGTGACTTAGGCTGTATTTTGCCAATAAATATGATTAACTGGAAAAAGACTCTAGCTTTGAAAATGAAATGTACAGGCTGAACAGAGGCACAGAGGAAATATTTTATGCTAAGACTGAAAATATGCCCCGAGTGAATCTGAGAAGACTATTCAGTTAGGTTCATGCTTCTTCATTGTGTCAGTAGGTAGGAAGTTCAATTAGAAGAAGTTCCACGGGTTACTTTGATATTTTTTTAAAATAATCATAATTTGTTCTTAGAGTGCTGAAACTGTATGAAACTACTTTAGCGAGAAGCGGGGAAACGTGAGCCGTCAGTGTGTGAGATTTTAGATCAGTGAACTTACACTTTAATCCCAGTTCAGCCACAAATTACGTGGATTTGAGTCAATTACTTAAAGCCTATGAGCCTCAATTTCCAAATCTGTTACATGGAAACACCAAAAGCACAAATCCATAATACTGTTATGAGGATACATGAGTATTGTCTATGGCGAAAGAATAGAATATTAAGAAACTCTCCAGCCCTCCAACGTAACTGGAGTGGCAAGAGATATGAGAAGAAAGGAAGACTCAAGTTAGAAAGTGACTTGTATCCTAGAAAGTAGTCTCAGAAGAAAGCCACAGGTAAAGAAGGAAGATGAGGAAGATTGCGGGCTCCTGGGTCAAACCACCTACATTTTAATACAATTTCACCACTTCCCAGCATCATAATCACACATCTCCAAATCTTGGTCTTCTCATCTGTAACATGGGAACAGTAATAGTACCGCCGCATAAACGATACAGGATACACCGAGGAAAGACACAAATAGCTCTTACATACTGCGTAGATCAGAATAAGCATTAACTAAGCAGGAACCAGAAGCAGAATTTATCTTCACTGTGGTTAAGGTGATAGCATATATGCTTGTGCCTGTGCTTATTTTCACTGAGAGAGGCAGAGCTTAGTAACTGTCACATCACGCAAAGTTAAATCAGCTTTGTGGAAGACAGAACAAGTGGGACCGTGACCTGCGGGATCCATAGTAAATTACTGAAATTCATAATGCTCTTTTTAACCTTGCCATTCTTCACGATAAATGCTGTTAGGTTCATACCCTTACCAGGTAGGTAGTATGGGGGAGGGAGACAAGTTCTGCTTTTAAGGAGGAGGAATTCTAGTTCAGGAGACAGAACCTTCACACAGTAAATGTCAACTGAGGGGAACCCATAACCAACACTTAGACAGATGCTTTTGCACAGCAGGAATGACTCTCAGCCAGACCATCTGGGTTTGATGACTGGCATTGCCAGGTGGTGCCACGTAGGAGCTGTGTGACCTTAGGAAGGTTACCTAACTCTATTAATTTACTGTTGACATCTATGAACGAAGGTAACAATAATACTTACCTAATTGACTTGTGCAGAATAAAAGAGTTAAGATACATAAGGGACCTGGAGCATATTTTGTGTGAAATAACTATTTACTAATACTCCTACTTCCACTAGTAGGAATAAAGGTTCACTAATAAAGGCATATTTGGAGCCAGATGTGTTTCAGAACTTTTCTGATGTTAGAATGACAGCACGGTACGAACACCATATATTACACAATCCTTCCAGTGAATATAGGACAGCCCCTATATTCAAAATATTAATATTTCTGCAATATGAATTTTCACAACTGTTAGCTAAATAAAGACCTATAAAGAGACTCCTGTCCAGCAAAGTCAGATTTTGCTGATAAATGAGTTCAGATCAGGCAAGATTTTTATCACCAGATGAGTTTTTAAAAGCTTTTAGCTTCCAGAGCTTTTTGAATTTTGGCTTTGTGGATCTGTACAACTATGAACATTAGAGATTGGGAAGGCTTCAGAGAGGGGCATTTTTTCCTGGTTGCTAAAGAAGAGTAGAGGAATTGCAAGCAAAGGAGATTTGTGACAGACTCTCAGGTCGAAGTGAGCAGAAACCCCATGTAAGATAGAAGGGGCAGAGGGAGAGGTGAGACTGGGGTCAAATCACCTGATCCCACCCCCTACAACTGTCAGAGATCAGACAAGTACTGGCACAATAATAGTGTTAATTCTCTTGGAATAGTGCCACATCTTTAGACTTAACGTATGTAGCCAGGGACTGTAAACCAACAGGTCTGGACATCCAGTGGTGGTCTTGCAGATGTGTTTGTTCTGCTGACACAGTGTTTAGCTTTTGGAATGTGGATACTTCAGGAAGGGTACATACCTGCCACTTGCCACAGATGGTCCCATCACTCTCCACTGTCTTCACCCAGCTGGATTCTCTCACTTCTATCTCTCTGGTCTCTCCTGGCATTGGAATTGTTGACCCCTGGTTGGCAAATAAAAGAAAATGACTGTTTGAAATGAGTCCTGAGATTTTAAATGATCAATTACATGGTTGAATTCATCTTATGGTCTCTATATAGATTGTAGAGAGGTTCATGCCAGCTCTCTTGATCAGCAGTGGCTTTCCAAAATGCTGCATTTATGAAGACCTTTTAGGCTGCTGTCAGGCTCAGTGTTACAGGGGAGTAGAAGGAGAACATTAATCTGGCCTATGTTTTACATCACTTATTCTCAAAATATAATCCAGTGAGTAAAAGTAACATATTACATGATCTTTTCCTGTTCTATCCAGTATGGTACTCACTAGCCGCATATGGCCACTGAACGCTGGAAATGTGACTAACCCAAGTTGAAATATGCTGTAAGCATAAAATACACACCAGATTTCAAAGGCTTTGTACAAAAAAAAATGTAAACTACCCCATTAATAACATTTAATATTGATTACATAGCATAATGATAATATTTTTATATATATTTGATAAAGTACATTATTAAAATTAAGTTTACCTGTTTTGGTTTCTTTTTTTAACATGGCTGCTCAAAAACTGGAAATCATATATATGTCTCGTATGATATTTCTATTGGATGTCATTATTCTATATTATATATGTTAATGATGTAGTAATATTAAAAGTGATTTCTGACCCTCATTTCTATTATTTGGGCAATTTTAATGACCTAGAAACCCCATCAAATTATTATTTTAGCCAAAACCAAAAAATATTTCCTGTTAACTGTTTTTAAAATTTTTTTTGGCCACGCAGCACAGCATGTGGGATCTTAGGTCCCCGACCAGGGGTCGAACCTGTACCCCCTGTGCTGGAAGGGTGGAGTCAACCACTGGACCACCAGGGAAGTCCTTTCCTGTTAACTCTTGATAGGAAAAAGATGAAAATTTCCAGCAGAGGCTCTCCTGAATTTCATCCCCCAATGAACTTTCCAAAGTTCCCTCCCCATCACACCCAACACCAAATGAGAATCACTGCTCTAGAACAGCTCAAGGGCCAAGTCCACCAGCCACATGCATATGTTTGCACACTGTCTATGATTCCCTTTGCACTAAAATGGCCAGGTTCACTGAGTGTGACAGGGAGGGTCCCCAAAGTCTAAATTACGCACGAAGTTTTCCTTTACAGAAAAAGTTTACTGACCCCTGCTCTAGAGTAACAATTCCAAATGAGCTTTTCTAAATTTATCCTCATAACAAACATTTAGATCAGTTTACAGATGCAAAAAAAATTGCTTAGGAAGAAGCTTGAATCATCAGTGTTACAAACCACTAATACACTCAGGAATAAAGCATTATTTTTCAGCTTCTAAAATTCTTCAAATTGTTTCTTGGAAACCATGCTTTGTAAAATGTGATCCTGGGGGCAATTAGTAGACTGAGGGTTATTTGAGGGTGAAATAAGGAAACAATACAGGGGATTACTTCGGTTCGTTTGCTCTGCTAAAGATGCCATAGAACTTCGTATTTTACTGACATGTTTCCAACTTAAGAATGGACATCTGAATTAATGGTAAATTACTGAGAATTTCCTTACATCGATCATACGTATCCTAAAATAAACTTTTGGCTGCTTAGCTAATAGATATTTTTCTAAGTTTCTACGGGAAATTGAGGATATTATTGATATATTATTACCTTTGTCGTAACATGCCATTTTTTTTCCTCATAAGTTGAATCTAAATCTCCTGATTTTTAGAACCCATTAGAGAAAGCTTCTGGTTTACGGTTCATCATACAAAAAGTACGCAGATCCTATGTTAAAACTGGCATTGTGCTTAGAAAACTACCCTCTGGAGGCTGATAAAGCACTGTCTCACCCTTCTAAGACCTAGTTTTCATATTAAAGGTCGCATATGCTCATTTTCCAATTTTATTAGCTTTCTTCACAACTGGTTAAAAATGGAAAGAAAAGAAATTACAATTCTAATTGTGACTCTACTTAACTAGTTCAAACTGATTTAAGTATGAATATCTGAGAAGCCTGAAAACTCAACAGCCATTTAAAAGTCTATTTGAGCAGTAGATCAGAATTCCTTAGAGAAATGGAAAGGTGCTTTAGAGTCTAATGCTTCCTTTTGAACTGTATATCACTTTTTCCATTTAGAATTCATTTGAATGCAGAGATCGAGTTAGGTTCTTTTCGTTGGAGACACTCCAAATATTTTTACAGTTATTTGAATACCATATTGGCAAGCCCATTATATTTACTCGTCCTAAAACAAATAATTTCCACATATTCTAAGCTTTAAAATTCTCTAGTACAAATTATTAAAAGATTATAAAGTGTTTGTCTGTGTATTTTTAAAGGGAGGGATTTGTGACTTCTTAAAAAAGGAAAATATTTGAATAGCAGTTATAATTCTAGTATATTCACAAATCAGTCATTAAAATGCATAGAGCAGAGTTGTTGCAGCTGTATACAGCTTTTATTATTCAGACTGCTAAATGGGTGAAACATATATTTTAATTTAATGTGTAATGCACAACTCAGAATGAACCAGAATGATTCTTCCTCCCCTCCCTTTCCTAAGGAGCAGCTAGAGATCCTTCAACGGGCTGGTGATAATTTCTCCTGGACAACAGCCAGCCGAGATTTATTGAATATGCTGGCATCTCTTCATAAAACACTGCAAGAGCTGGCAGAAGTTTAGTGAAAAAATCAGCCCGTAACATTTCTACTTTTATTCATGTATTTTCATGGAGAATTTAACTGCTAAGCCTTCAGCTCTGGTTACCAATTATGGCCCAATGGGAACTTCAGCTCCTATAGAAAGTTAACGAAGAGGGGTCTTCCCATTTCATTATTATGAGAATAGAAGACTTGGGTTTGACAGTGGGGGTCGGGAGGGTGCGCATTAAAGTCCTGACTAAAGGGAACTACAAAGAACCACCTCGATGTTACTGATAAAGGGGGGGAAAAGGTAAAGAAAGGGTGTTTATTCTCATTTAGTGACCGCAGAAGTCAGTGAAGGTATCTTTGAAAGCAAAATAAATCATACGATATGACTGTATTCAAAAGGTTGTGTTTCCTCTATTTTAAATAGGCCAGACTCTTGCCTGGAGGGCTCCTACCTGGAGAATACTATTGTCTAGTTAATGGTCAAACTTTCTCTCCAGCTAGTTGGAGTGCCATCTTGAGCCTCCCTGCAAAATAAAGGCCCTCCCCTTATATTTTCAGAGCAAACAAAATCCCATTTATAGCTTCTCATAACTCTACAAATACTTGCAGTCTGTTTTATTTCTCTGCTGAAGTGTAAGGTTCTCTCAGATGCAATTCATTCCTTTCTTAAGGTCTCCAGCAAGCTCTCATTGGAGTTCTGTACTCTACTTCTAGAGCACAAATCTCAGTGGTAGTGCTTAACTAATTTATTGTGTTTAATCAGAGACTCTGAAAAATAATTTTCTTGTGTCTTTCCATGTCTAGAGATTTATACTGGTGCTCAGTCTCTTAGAAAGGACAGCACTAAACTTCACATTGGTTATGTTGGCTTTTGGATTTAGTCAATTCGTGACCGTATCAAGAGAGGATTGTATCTTTAGCATTCTGGGTAATTTCACCATAGAGAGGAACAAATTCGGGCAGAGAGTTTAACAGTCTTAAGAGACTCTGATCTTGACTTATTGAATCACTGAAGCAAACCATGACACACAATAGCCTTCAAATCTGTGAGACTCTCTGTGCTCTCTCAGCCTGCCACTGCTGTGTGGCAGGTGCCTGTCATGGTCTAAAGTCCTTTTCTTAACCTCAAGATGTCCGGATTGAACACAAAGGCACAGGCGTATCTCTTCCAATTTTTTATCATTTTTAAGTCATCAGTAATATGGCCCTATCTCTCCTATGTGTAGACTGTTTTTGAGACATCCTCAGTACTTATTCATGTTTTACCCACTACTTTATAGAAGGGATTTGAGGTGTCCTTATAATAAGGGAGATAAGTCTCATGACTTTAATAAAATATAAAAGGAATTCAGGACCATGGAGAGGTAGAACATGGAAATATGCTACCTCCTGGAGCATGTATAATCAAAACTGGCTTTAACACATGACTTGATGCTTCTTGCTGACAGTACAAAAGGAACACAAGCCATGATCCACATGGTTCCTTTCCCTCACTTCTAAAACATATTTATCCTTCTTATCCACATCTGTGTGACTTTGTAGCCCAACTGCCTTATTATACATTGAAAGTTCATCATTTCATCACATCAATTTATCATAAAAGAAAAAAAAAATAGGAGAGGTCAGTATGAGTACTCTTACTAGCATCTTAATTCATATTCCTTTATATGTTAGAGAAAAATCGAATCCTGATCTCATCCAAGACCATGCCTGACACCTGTGCTATTGGTTTTATTCTACTTCCGGAACCTTATTCATCAATTAGCTACTTGCTCTTGCATCCTAAATTCCTCTCATCTCTTTCCCTCTGTCTTTAAATATTACAAGTCTCTCCTAAAAAGAAAAGCTTTCTTCCATTCAGCCTAATTTTCAAGCCTACTAACCCCATCCCTTTGCCTCTTTGATTATCAAACTTAAACGAATAGAGTATTCTCACAGACTGCTCATTCTTACTTCCTTAATCCTCTGGACTATTGTCAGAACTCCCTGACGTTTATCTGGAAAACCTTGTTGATGACTCCCTGTTTGCCCAGCTCAAAACTTCCCCCTCTGTCCTCTTCAATCCTTGCCTAATTTATAACTGGAATATCTCTCTTAGTTCCTGCTCCCAACCTCTCCTCTTGCTGATGCACTGTCTTTATTTCAATAGAGTTAACTTTCTAAGCAAAAGTTGGATTATATCACTTGGAAAACTCAAGATCAACCTCAGCTACATTTTACCTCAACTCTGGACACTCCTTATATGCGAGTGTGCGCGCACACACACACACACACACACACCCCTAAGACACACACCCAGACGCTGCTTTAGCCATTCAGAGCTCATGCCACAGTGACACTGCTCTGCAAA